TCCACGGCAACTTGCCACCGGCTGCGAAAGACTGCCTGTGAGGCTTCCACCATGGCTGTTTCTCAAACATAGGGTCACATGTCTCGATCTTATGATAACGAGTATAGTCTAATGCATCAGACATAACCCGGCAAGAAATGGACCCCAACATTTCTACAGCATGTGCTTCAAGCCGCTTTCTCAGATCTTTGGGCAGGTCTGGCGCGCCTGCCCGCAGCCTAGCTTGAAGTGTGAGGATGTGCAACTCCAATTCATTCAGGTTGCAGTCTACCAATTTTTGCAGCAGTTGCAGCTGTGTGATTTTTGTTTTCCAGGTGGGGATGTGCGCGAGCGCGATTTCTCCGAGACCTGTCAGAGCTATGTCTTGCCGGAGCGGGGCAGTTGCGAATTTCTTTGAGGTCATCATGACAGTTGCGGTTCACTGCAAACCCGGCAGGACATGCTTGGCCACATACTCCCGGAAGAGCCATGGAGTCCTCCTGAGGCCAGGGAGGTTTTGATTCAGTATGAGAAGGGCATAGTTGCATATTCAAAGCTCCCTCTCATAGCCGCCAAGATACCTTGTTTACAGCTTGATGGTTTTGAAGCTTCAGTGCGCTGAAGCCCGTATCCACTCTGAGCCTTGCAAGGCAGTATGAAGTAGCAAGTCTTTTAACAATCCAAGAATTATGGGAAACCGTGCAAATTCCTCTAGAATTCTTGTTTGAGGGTGTGGTGTCGTGCCAAGTTATTAAATCGCAATCCGTTACCCCAAACGATCATCCTGAAATCCAAACCCTCTTCTGCTTAAACCAATGTCCCTAAACTGCCTAACGCCAAACCCGAAACACCACACCTCAAACACGAGCCCCCAAAACCTGGCTGAAACCTTAACCTGATCTTAGATTCTGTTGTTACTTCTGTAGCGGCTGCCTGATATTTTTCTATTCTATGGAATGGTCTGCAACCGCAAGCCCCAAACCCAAGACCTCTGACCCTATATCCAGAAGTGAAAGCCACAAGCCTGAAGTCAGTAGCCCTAAAGCTTAACCTGAGATCCCAATCTGAAACCCCCACCCTACATCCCAGACCCTGGCCCAGGAGTCGTTGGACGTGGACGCCTGGGCACCAGCCACCTGAGGTGTTGCTGCTGAAGGACAGGCGTTTAGGGTTTAGAGCTTTGAGTTTAGGGCTCAAGATTTCGGGCTTGCGGTCTATGGATTGAGGTTGAGGCTGCCATTGCATTCCGACGCGAGATTATGCTTCTGTAGTTTCTCAGATGAAGGCCCAGTATGAAGTACAGATGTTTTGTGGAGTGTATACAGGATTTCTGAGGGGCAAGGGGGGTGTCAGGCGTCTGACATTCCTGGCTCCACCTCAGCGCGCACATGAACTTCCGCGATGGCTGCGGTTTTGGGATACTTGCGTGCCCTTGTACCTCAAGTATGCCAACAGTCACAAGGATGTGGCGGCTCCGGTATGCTACCTTCCTGACTACAATCACTTCATGCACCTGACGCCGCCCGCAAAAGTGCAAACAGTCACAGGGATGTGGCAGTTCGGGGCATGCTTCTAGTGACCCTGGCCGATTTTGGGGATTGGTGGCTTAAGAACAGACATAGCCCAAGAGATGAACTGCACTCTCCTCAAACACGCTCTGCAATTCCGATCTGCGATACAAGCCCTCTCAGCTTTAACGAGCATAAACAAGTAATCCTTGAACATCTCTTTAGGAAGCTGTTGTATGCATGCCGGTATACTGAAAAAATATGTTCAGGGCTTCCACAACTCGTCTGCAGCCCTTGAGTATCTGGTCTCTACATCTGCTTAGATACCCAAGCATAGACCTCTTATGTGGCTTGAAAATGGTTATGCAGCTGTCATAGAGTAATCTTATCAGGATTATGGAAACATTTTTTTCGGGATCTTCAGCGGTGATGAAAGAATCCCATACCTTAGCAAACTCCACGGCAAAAACGGACGAGGCAGAAAACCGTGAGCAAGCTCCAAAGAGTTGCTTGCTGCCTGGGTATACCGTTGTCAAGCCTGACCTGATCCAATGCAAAGTAAGCATCTCCAAGTTGCGGTTGTGATGATTGTCAGGCTGATGCTCTTTGAATCGGTGACAATATTCTTACGGCCGCATATTTCAATGGCCATTGATTCAGTGCTGGGCCAAACAGGCACTCGGCACGTTTTCATGCTCCAAAGCTGAGCAGAAGTGAGATTTTCTCATGCCAAACAATGGGTGCTGATGGGATTCGCGCATGCTAGCACAAGCTGAGGCTGACGTGGTAAGGTATTGCTATCGTCCTCTAGGAGTTTCTCAACATCATGTTCTGTTAAGGTCCCTAAAGTTTATAAGCAGCACATGAGTAGTCTGGAGTATATTGGGGTAGCAAAATGTATGCTGGCAGGGTGACTGAGCGGAATTCACGCGGGGAGCTTCTCGTGCAAAGCTGGGTATCGGAGCCTTGAGTATGAAGGCCGAGTTACATCATCCCCCTGCGTTCGCTGTTCAAGAAGGCAATTTCAATCGTTCAGGCAAAAACTTCACTTGAAGCCATAAACCCCCAGACCCCCAATCTATGAATCAATCCATGAATTCCTGAACCCTGTTCGGTTCAAGTTAATCATGGTGAGCTAGCCTCTGCAGGTGCCGAAATTGCGCGGACCTTGCTGTTTGCTAAAGCCTGTGCCGCTGTCTGAGCACTTTGCGTCATCTGCTTGAGTTTAGGGTCCAGTTGTGTCAGTCTAGATGATTGCATGGAAGCTTGCTTGACTCCTTACAATCCAGCAGCACGCTGCAAATGCAGTGCAGAAGCTGTTGAGATTGAGGTGGATGCATTCGGCCGGGATGGGGAAACGCCAGCTCTAAGCCCAGGATCTGACAAAGCTTGCAAAGCATTTGAAGAGTTGGTTTTTGTTGCTTTGCAAGGTGCAGCTAGCTAGCCTCATGGGCTGTGGCCTCGGGTTTTGCCAGCGTCTGCCGAACACAGCATATTCTGGTATGTGATAGTATATTCTGTTATATTATAATGCATTATAGTAGAGTATAGTATACTATAGTAATGTGCAGAACTCTACAAGTTTCTGTGCGGGGGTAATTAACAGACCTATGAAACCCGTTTTTTGGGGGGACTAGAAAACCACAGATAGTAGTTTCCATTTTCTTTTCCATTATCCCTAGGTGGGAGTGTCGTTAAATCATGTGTCCTTTTCCTGGCAGCCGCATGGATCCCCTTTCTTGCAATGAAGTCGGTGAGGGGACCTTGCTTCATGAGATGACAGGCACAAGCAGTAAAGCAACCGTCGTCCGATTGTGTGTTTGTGAATCGCTCCGAGAAATCTCCCCTCCACAAGTTCGTTCTTGTTCTGTACCGTTGTACCCATTGGCATGATTCCCGATATACGCAGTGTAGCCATCACATACTCATTATATGCCCCTTGCTGTTGATACTAACAGCCTGCATGACCTTAACACACCATAATTGAATAATTCGCAAGGTTTAGGGATCTCAGGGTCATGCAGGAGTTTTTGTAGCCACCACATGTACCAAATATGTTATAATGGTAGTATTGATGATTGAGCAGAGCCCGGGCTTTGTCAGAGAGGAGGATGCGATTCCATTAAGATAAGTATGTGATAGTATGCATTTGGATACTTGCTCAGGACACTGTAAAATTGTCCGCGAGCTTCTTCAGGCCTGCTGTGGGGCGGTCTGGATCCAAGTGCTCTAGGTATTCTTAGGTTTCCCGGCCCTTAAATTCATGGGCCAGTTTGGGTGGCATTGCTACTGTGGAGACTGTGTTTTTTTCGGTATTTCAGCTGATTTTGCAAAAGCAAACACTTTTGCAAGGTGCTCGGGTTGTGGGAGCAATTGTGGGCTCCTTTTGGGCCCCTGCAATGGAGATTCCAATGTTCTGGGCGCCATATTTGTTTAAATGAAGTCCAGGCCGCAAGGCCAGTGGAAGCGCGAACGGAAGGCAGTGCCCCGGTTGCTAACACACGTCTCAAGATTCGAATTCCAGTTCAGAGAGCACGGGATCTTGAATGTTTCCCCAGGCGACATGGTGAGGGCCAGCCAGATATACAACCCAAAGTATTGAAGGTTCCCAACCCCAAACCGTGACCCCTGAACCCCAAGCTTAAACTTTCACCCTCACACTCTCCGTTCTGGGTGGCTTTCATATGCTTTGGAGGCCAGTGCTTCGCCAGATGTTGAAGCACACGACGGCAAGCGAGCAGGGCACCTGGGGATTGCCGACGATACTGTTGACATAATGGAAATCACCCTTGTATTCTACCTTTCCATATTCCCTACTAAGAACTAGGAAGTAAGAAGGTTTTTTTGACGCAATTGGTTGGATGGCTTTCTTTCTTGGGAGCTCCATGACCCTGCACAATTCCTATATCCCTAAAATCCAAAACGTTCCCCCCTTTCGGGAAAGCCTCCTGGTTGTAGTAGCAAGAAGAACAGGCACTCAAGGCATCCGAGAGCCCTCAAGTAGACCCGAGTAAAGGTGAGCGGTGAGAGCAATAGTTGTAGCAACGGAGTGATACCAATATGCAGTGGCATGATGGTGCGACAGGCGATGGAGGAAGCCTTGCAGCACTGAAGATACATACTATGCAGTAGCTGGTGACTATAGGTTGGTGCAAGATGTCTTGGCACGCAGTGGTGATACACACAACATTTGCTCCTCGGTCACGCTTGACGCATACCGTTTGGCGAACATGCTGTTTGATGTCGAGCGTAGCATCTGCCTTCAGCTTCCAGAGGAACACAGTGAAACATCTGCAGATGATTGAACTAAGTGGTGGGAGAGGCTGGCTGCTTGACTTTCGAGCTGCCAACCCTTCTGCCCCTGCTGCAGGGAAGCTCAAACCTACAGCTGCATATACCTACCGAACCTCAGGCTTTCGGGTGTAAAGAACAGGGCATCGCCTGATTTGAGCCATGGACTGGACTTTAGCGCCTCACACCCTGGAGTTTGACGGGGATGCGACGCTTCGGTCAATGTACGCATGGCACTCAGGATACTCACCAATGCACAGCGTTGCTGGGCATAGCTTTGCATAGGTACGCTCTAAATTCGGTAAGCGCTCAACTTCTACCTCAAGAGAGTCGGATACACTGATTGCATTGTTGCACGGCCTGAGGTGGTCACCTACTCCAAAGCTCTGCCCTACAGCATCTTTTTCTTCTTTGTTTGGGACACTCGTCGGGCAAGAGCTACATACCCCCAGCGTCTCCAGCTCCCAAGCCCTCATGCAAACGTGAAAGGGTGGCAAATGATTTCGTTTGATCTGCAGATCTGGATTCCAGTGTGCATCAAAATGCCAGAAGCGGAATGCAGCATAAATAGTTGGAGTTCCGTGTGCGTAGCCTCTGCTGAGCCCTAAGCCTTAAACTCATGATTTTTCAAGCTGAGGGCGCGTACGATATGCTGCTGAGACTCGCTGGCTTGGGTGCTGAGATTCGTGCGGTGCGCCGCGGAACCTGGGCACTGAAGCTGAGACTGAGCTGCAGATCATGGCTGCCTTGGCATTAGTTTTTTGGGGTTTGTAGGTAACGCAAGTTGTGTCCAGACATCTCCAGCTTCTTGCAGGGTGCGTCTGATCGGTATTCACCAGCAATCCAAGGATGAATCTTACACACCATGTCCCTTGGCATCATATTCGAAGTCTCACACCGCAGTTCCTGTTCTGAACCCATTGGCAAGCGTGCTATAGAAGGGGATATGGATCCTCAGTGACTGCTTGCCAGGTGCTCATAACGCCATTGGCGCTCCTCAGCATGTGGCAAGACCCCGTCATTCGGCAGCCCCTTGACGGTTTATTTTCTACATGATTGGCAATTGTTCTGTCACTGGTGAAGTCGTCTAAGCTGCCAGGAGAGAAGCAGCGTTGGTGAAGGTATGAGACGGTTCCTGTCATCCAAGGCTCTATGCTTGCTTCGGCTGCGATGAGGCTGGCCAGACAATCTTGAACCGGTTGCTTCCCAGACAATGCTGCACGAGATTACGCCATGCAAGGCCGCTGTTCTCATGAATCGAGCTCCTTCATCGCCTTCAGCCGTCATTTGGCCAGCATGATGCAGAGCGTCGCTGCCCAGCCTGCTTGGGACAACCTTGTTGACTGCTGTAACAAAACATCTTTCTGGCCAGTTCTTGTGTCTCAAAATCGGTGCACCGGAGAGGCTGAAAAGCTGGTTGGCTGAACCACGTGCATCCTTTCATCCTTCTGCTAGAAGGAGCTGTAGTGGAATTACTAGCCTCCAGCAAGCAAGGCTTGCCAGCAAAGGTGGTGGGTAATGAGAAGTCCTGATGTCATTTACCAACCATGGCCTGTCCCTGTGCATGGGGCAGCAGTGTGTATGCCAGTGCTTGACAACTCACAAGGTTTGTAGAAGCTCCCACACGACTTTGCCATGTCAATGTGAGCAACTCCGAAATGCCATCGTCTGCTCCTCTCCTGAGGCACGAGCATTGACCCCCATCACGCACCTTGGAGTGGAGGGAGGTTCTCACGCATTGTAGCTGTAAGTTTTGCTTTGTCCACAGGAGGGTCTTGCTAAAAATGTGTGCTGCAAGTCTGCGTGCTGCGTCCAGTTCTTTGCCTCAGTTTGCGTAGTCTTGCTAAGCATTGCTGCTACTGATGCTCTACACAAAGCAGCCAAGGATAGGATACTTTACGGCGGACCTGCTTCTGCTCAGCCAGTGAGAGCCTGAGAAACATGAGCGGCTCTTTCAGTTTGTATGGCTTGCCCTTTCATTCTTGTTGTGGATTGTCAGGTGGCAGCTAACCAAAAGCTCAAAGACTGAGCGATATGTGATGCTTTTGCACCACGCCAGCCCCCCAGTCCTGAGCAGACTTGTGCTGGCATCTGGTTTGTACAGTAGGTTGTCAGATGGACAGCGAGTGGGCAAGAGGTCCAGTGCTTTGCAGAGTAGTGTGCAAGTTGTGCACTGCAGCAGCAGATCTAGATGCCAATAAGAAGTCTGGGAGTCCGAAGCGAATGAGTGAATTTCGGACTGAGATTGCTTCGATGGTCGTGTGGCCAGCCGCCGTGTACTTCGACTGGGTAGCTCGATACGTCTGCTGGCTTAGTTGATTGAAGATGTTGAACATAGCGGGTGAGGTACACGCCAGTTTGTTTCTTAGTGGTGGAAATTGAGCGTCCTGGGTAATCTACAGGATGGCTGCTTTTCGCGCATAAAGTGCCCCATTGCGATGAGGTCTTAATCATGCTATCCTACGAGAGTACCAGCCTGCTGTTGACGCTCCTTTGGATCATTTCAGCGGCCGGCTACAAACAGCTCCCCGGCTGCAATCTGGAATGAAGTCAGGTAAACGAGATGTGTGGTGGACTGATGCAAACCTTCGGTACTATGACAGTCCAAGGAGCCTGATTTACGGTGTGACTGGCCTCCTCTTCACTGGCCTTTTCTTCGTGTTAAGGACAGGGCAGCTTCCAAGAGTTGTGCTTACCACCTACAATAGTCATGCCGCCGGTCGCAACAGCACGCGGATGATAGATGATGAAGTAAAATCAGAATTGCCAGCCCTGATCTAAGTTCCAGACTGATTCTGCATCCATGCTGTGGCAACTTGCAGAACCCTGTATGAGCCCAGCTTTGATTCCAGTATGTCTTTGACTTTCCATGTGGTTTTCGTTCTGGTATGTTGCTGGAGGATGGTGGGTGCAGTCCCGCAGATCTTGGCCATGGCCCGTGCTCCTCCCTGGTCGGAGCGCTTGATGACGGAGGCTTTCAAGGTTAAGTTGCTTTTCAAGTCTTTTTTTTGGCAATGATTCGAGGAATTCGTAAGGTGTTTGCAGGTCGTACGACAGTTACGAGCTGCTTAGTCCCTGCATAATGCCACAACTGGTTTCAACAGGGTTTTGGAGTATAAGACGCTTACTGGTCGAGGCTGCGAGGATATCTTCCAGAGAAAGTACATCTTAGGGAGTCTTGGGGATGAGAAGGGAGATTTGGGGATTTCGTCAAAAAAGCCGTTGATGGATTTATGAATCGGGCAAGCCGATCATTGCCAATAAGAAAGCTTCATAGAGTCCCTTCTAAACTCAAGAAGTTCTTGTCCCCAACATAGGTACCTGCAAAAAGGTAGGGGACCCACAATTTCAAGAACAGCTCATTCGCCCTCAGTCAAAAGCAGGCTGTGGACTTACCCGAATTTGCATCCATTTTGCCCCTAAACCGTTTGCACTGAATCCTAAACCCCACGCTCTAAGCCAGATTTGCTGGAGGCGCAGCCAAACGGAATTCATCCGTTGGCTTGGCTTTGGTGCCAGTCACTCATACTTCCCCACGTGATGAACCTCTTCTGGGGAGCGTCTCGGCACACCAAAAACATCTCAACGATTCGTTCCGCTTGAAGTAGGTGGCTTGAAAGGGGTTCTGACAGATTTTGCTCTGATGGCAAGCTGAAGGTTTCTTGCAATTGCAGTTGCTTGGATGCGTCCCAACTAGTACAAATGCCTCACATCATTAAGTGTCTTCTTGTTGTTGGCATGCTGGGAGCCTGTTGCTTGCACCATTCACTCCGGGTGCTGGTACTGCGCTGGTGCTGCGGTGGGGGCGGTAGTGGTTGTGATGGCCGCGGCGGTGGCGGTGGAGGCGGGGGTGGTGGTGATGGTGGTGGTGGCGGTGGTGGTGGTAGTGGTGGTAGCAGCAGGAGGAGAAGTAGCAGGAGTAGCAAGAGCAGAAGGAGTAGAAGGAGCCGTAGGAGGAGGAGCAGTAAGAGCATGAGGTCTAGTCTGAGATGTAGGAGTGGGAGTAGGAGGAGAAGGCGGGGTAGTAGGAGGAGACTTAGCAGCAGCAGGTGTAGTAAGAGTAGAGCAGTAAAAAACGATGATGCCCCATGTAGACGTTCCTGGCGTTTCCCCCGTCTGCAAATGCAGCTGAGGTAAAGGTCTTGGGAGGCCAGCTGGGCAAGTTGATTCGTGCTCCAACCCTGTTTCTAAGTCCTAGCCCGAATATTGGCTTTCCCTTCAAGAACCAAGAGCAGACAGAGCTACTACCAACCACAGAGGAGAATTCTACAAGAGAAAGAAACCAGTTGCCCTGCCGGGCCATCAAGTGCAACAACAAGTCCGCCAGGTTCGCCAAGCAGGGAGGTGTCCACTTTGGGGACTTATCATTGTTACATGATCATACCGTCATTGCTGTAATCAATGTCATTATTGATACTAGTGTGGTTGTCAGTACGAGTGTTTTTGTGACAGCCCCTCTTTTTTTTTAAAAACGCTGTGCCCAAGTTAGTGTTACTTTGGTTGGGCACGAAAGATTGCCTAGCTCAAGCCATGAATCTCTAGATAGTCCATACGCCATAGGCTTGACGAGCCTTGGGACTTTCCATCAGCGTTTTATCCAAGCTCCTGGAGCACATTGGGGTTGTATTGGGATAATGGAAAAATGGAAGGGTTATATAGGGATTATATAGATTTCTATAGAGATTATATAGGATTAATGGAAAAGAAAATGGAAGCTACTACAGGGTTCAGTGTGACAGGCGCCTTTGCAGTCTTCACCGAGCGGAGCGCTGCAGCCTCCAAAGACCAGTAACATTCAGGACTCCACGCGTGCTTCGTACAGAAAGGGGAAAGGGGTCTTCGTCGGAGCCCCAATCTAGGGCTTAGGGCTTCAGGATTCTTTGAGGAACGGACCCCTGAAAGTAGTCCGCACAGAAGCTCCTGGCTTTTCATTGGTGATCCACCTTGCAAAGCCCCTGAACCTTCAGGAGCCAGGCGTCCTGCGCTCCACGTAATTCCGTGGTTTGGTCGCTTTGCCTGTCAGTGAGTTCTTACACCTAAGAACAGCTGCGCTGTTGTAGTCAGGTTGTATACATATATGTATGTGTGCTCTATTGCTACTTATAGTTACAACGCTATCAGTGCTTGCCAGCATTGCATCCTGGAGCTGGAAATTCAGTGACGATGTGAGGCGGGCTTTTCCCCAACATTTGGGATTGTTCTCGCGCACCTTACACAAAGTGGCATGTGGCAATTTGGGGTGGTGCCCTGACTTTGGAAATTGCCCGAGCACAGCTTTCACAGGAAGGCGCTGGCATCACCAGCTGCCTGTTTGGCATTGATGCCTTATCTCTGTCCTAATTGCAAACGAATCGAGCTCAATTGTCCGTTACCAATGCCGGGGTTGATGCATAAGCCGATTCTCATTCTGTCTAAGCTCTTGCACTTCCTGATGCAACCCCGTCGGCCGAAGCACTCACTCGTTTGCAAGAAGTACAGACAGCAGAGATTGAAGCATGTCATGATGTGCGAGTGTTATTTTGGGTTGCTTGCGCGAGGCTGTCCTAGTCTAGTACTGCAATTGTATCTGTGCCTTCCAGTAGATCATCCAGTCTGTCTTTCTCATCTGGTCAGATACATACGGTTGGCCATCTCACCATCTCTTCTTTCGCATGTGGCCTTCCAGCGCCCGTTAATCTGCAAGCCGAAAGGCTCAGCTGAATAAAGGCCGACATCGCCTACCGGCAGTTGTGGGCTTGTCTCACATTTCATATAGTCACCATGGCCCCAACATTGTTTTGCAACTGCCCAAGTTCAACGCGGATAAAAAGGCGCGGGGTGTCAAGTGCAGGGATGATCGATTGCTTGTTTGGCGGGTTTGGGTTTGGGTTGTACGAGCTTGAGAATTCGTAGTTATAACAGGAAACGTAACACTTGAAATGGTCATGATATTTCATGATAGTCCAATTTGAATAGCAAACATACTTACACTAATAGTGGTATTCGCGGCCTGGAAGGAAAGAGGCTTGTCCCCAGGAATTCACAGGTTGCTCTTCAGCTGCCCTGAAAAATTATGACTTTTATTACCAATATGAGCTTTTGCCTAAACTCCTCAAAGGGGGTTACATAGGGGACTACTATAGGGGTCCTTAAGAGGATACTAGGAGTGCAGACTATAGTTCATACTATCACTAAACCCCAAGCCCTAAGTTATTACCGATATTGTTATTACCTATATTGTCCCAACACATGACTTCTATCTTATTCATCTTTGTGCTGACCCAGGCCTTGTTTCATGCCTGCTGGAAGCTCAGCTGTTGAGAAGAATTCGGGTGCTGGGGTCTCCTCTGACCAGCTATCACAGTCGTGCTCGTAGTGCTAGTAAGAATACTCATGGTGAAACATGTCGTTGTAGTAGTTGCGTTTACCATGGTGCATTGCAGATGAGGTTACCGCGGACATCTTCAAATCGTGGAGTGCCTGGTTCACAGCTTGGGAAGAAGTCTGCAACGAGTGAGTCGTGTACATCTGTCCTTGACGACTTCATAGCCACAGAGCTGAATTGGTTCCATGTGCGGACTCAGGCTTGCTGGAAAAGCAGGCCAGCAGCCCGACCTTTTCAGTGAGGCTTGGAGATGTGAGTCCGTGGGAGGCCTGTGCTTCAGCTGTGGACCTTACTGGCCGGGGTGCCTTGCACTGGGCTGCAGCACAAGGGCGGCTGGTGCGGGGCCCACTTGCGATTGAGCAGTGGATGCTCGTGCATGCAAGCCTGTGGAGGAGATTGTGGACAGACTGCTGCTGAATGGAGCGTTGCTGGATGCGCAGGCTAAGAAAGTGCCTGCCGCACATGTCCCATCGTCTGAAGCTGACCAAGCCGTCTTTGCAGACTTCTGCAGAACTGAAGGACAGCCGCGGCTGGTCACCCCTTCTTTTGGCTTCACAGGCATGGGTTTGCAGCGCCGTCTGAATCAGCAACGGCGAGATCATGCTTTCTTGCGATTGTGCAGTGAAGGGTGCTTCTGTTCCTGATAGCGTATGGCAGACGCCAATAAAAAACTAGGATTGTAAGGAAGGTGATGGTGAGAAACCTTTGGCACATTCACAGATCAAGGTGACCTTGCAGCTTCTGTGTGAACAGGCAGAACGGAACTAGCGCTACGTTAGTGTGTGCGATCTGCAATCAGGTTGGGCATTGCCCAGTTGTGATGAGGCTCCTGGAGGCTGGAACACTGAATCAGACAAGCTCACCTGGTATTTGCAAACTGATTTGGGCAAGCAAACGCCTGAGAGAGCAGCGTGTTTCAGGTCCAAGCGTCTCTGGATTTGCAGGGTTTCGATGGTGTTTTGGCCTGAGAGCGCCACTGTCCTACAGCCCTTTTCAACGCTCTTACTCTAGCTGCGGCTTCTGCCTTGCTGCTTCGGATGGTTTGCGGCTCTCCACATCTGTAGCTGTAGCTATCATAACGCGCACAGTGATTGCAACCTTAAGGAGACCGCCTTGATGCTAGCCGCGCTGAACGGTCAGCTGGAGGCTAGCAGACCTGCCTAGCACTCTTGATCGCTCTTGCTACTGGTTTGATTAAGTGTGAAGATTCAAGGGGTGGAGCATGCCCATAAAAGTAGCATAACCAGCAGCAAACCTTCTGCACCCAGCTTGGGTCTCCTTGTTGCTGGAAGTGCTGCTACAGACACCAGCCGCCGGCACCCTCACCAACACCAACACCACCATCATCTCGACCACAACCAAGTCCACTGCCGCTACCACCTTTATCTACATAGCTATTGGTATGTCAGCGCAGGGATTGTAAAGCAAGCATTTAGATCACGACAGCTGTGAATGTTGTCTTGATGTCATACTATTTGCTGCTGCTGCGGCGGCGGCGGCGACGACGACTACTACGTACCACCACAACAACCACAACAACTACAACAACATCAACAACATCAACAACATCAACAACAACAACAACAACAACTGCTGCTACTACTGCTACTGCTACTGCTACTGCTGCTGCTGCTGCTGCCAACACGGCCGCCGCCGCCGCCGCCCCCAACACCGCCGCCGCCGCCACCACCACCACCACCACCACCACCACCAACACCACCACCAACACCACCATCGCCACCACTCTGCTTGCTAACAATGCACAACTGCTGGCGCAGCTTTGACTGATCATGATGCCAGCCTCCAATCCGCAGGTCCTACACTTGCTTGTCGCACGGCGCGCCAACGTCGAGGTAACGGCCAATGATGGCCTTACGGGGCGTGAGCCTCATTGTTGATTCCACCTTGGAATTCCTGATATGGAGGCCGTTCCGAATCTTTGGGGGCCCGATCACGATTTTGAGGGGTGTCATAAAAATGCATGCCATAAACCGGGGTCAGTGTAAGCTCGCGCAAGAGCGGCGCAAGGTCCCGTGCAGTGGCTTGTAACGTAGCTTGAACATAGCGGCTGATCTTGTAGAAGCCATGCCAGCGCAAGCTGGCGCAAGATGCGTGCAAGGGCGAAGAACAAGCATTCTTACTAGACAGTGCAACATACAAGGAACAAGAACAACCACCATTTGACCCTCTTACAAGGGCCCTTTTGTATTCTGTTGTCACTCCCGATGCATGCGTGAGG